GATAACAAAGTTACCATTATTGGATGTTCTAGATCTAAGAGACAGCAATGAGGATTTAGAATTTGCTGTGTATAGGCACTGTCAGATATATACCTGAGAGCTCTCACACATGTACATAGGCTGCTCAAGTTCATCTTGACCAAAGAAATGTATGATATCGAGGAATAAGTCGTCAAGGAGGTAGCTAAAAGTAACTGGTATCTTCTGAACATAGTTTTAAGAAAGATGAATACTCGAAATTCAGTTCTTCCACCAACGGATTGGTGCAAATTTTTTGAAAGATTGGATTTCAAAGTGGCTTTCAAAACTGTACGTACACTTCAATAAGTATTGAGCAACCCAAAGAAAAGACAACAGACATAGAAAAGTATGGAATTGACGAAATAAGCTGTGATGATTGTGATGAAAAATATGTTGGTCAAACTAAGCAGACTATAATATGTATATCGCTACAAGAAACAGTTTTCGTATATTCGATTTCATAGACTACAGAAGTCCAGTGTTGCTTACGTGTCATAGAGAATGGCCACAGAAGTGAGAAATGCTTGAAATTGTTGAAACCGGTACATGACAATAAGTTTGTAAATGCCTTCGAAAGTTTAGAATTGATTAAAGGTGAAATTGAATCTAAGAAAGGTGAAGAAGGTTCAATTCCCAGATAGAAAACAGATGAAGATTCAGTTAGGAAAAAACAAAAGTAATGATAAGAAAATACTAGAAATTAATTTGATGATCCTCATTGACTAGATGCATATAAAAACACTGACATAGTTGTTTTAGTCATCAATTAATGTTGCTAGAGGCTCGGCGAGAGACAGCATTTTTGTTCTGGTGAAAAAATAATTACCAATAGATTCATTTCACGTCAGAGGTTCCAGATTCTGATTATCACTGAATGTATCTTTGAAGGTTCCTCATTTCTATAATTCTCAGGAAAATATTTGAAAAATATTTATTCTGATTCATTTTCTGCTAGGTGTTGGTGTTTTTCATGTTTTTCATGAACCGACATGTTCTTTTTCATATATGTCTCTTGGTTTTTCGAAAGTAGTGGTTCTAGCAGTTTCATTTGTTATGCAAATAAACGTCATATTATCACTCTATGAAAAATTTCAAGAAGGTGTTGAAAGCTGCACCCCCATTATTAATAAACAAACATAATATCCGGATTTTCATTAGTTCAATTCACGGAAAAGTGGCCCCATATCAATCCCCGCCTCGTTAGGAATACAACATTTTGATTACAATTTTTCGTGTTCCATTAATTCAACAGAAATAACACACACACGGCCGAAGTGAGCGGGAATATTCTGACCAGGTATGTGTGTTATTAAAAGCCTTTTGTTGTTGTACAATTGGTAATTAAGGTGGCGATATTGTGGAATTTAAGCCGGGCCGCGCAAATTTTTGGAATATATTAATAACATTGTGCGGGGACAATAAGCGGCGTTTGTGTCGATACGTTTTGTTCTGTTATTAGACCGTTTATTATGTTTCGCGTTCTTTGTTTAAGCGAAAATGCTTCACGGTAATTATCGAATTCCTCGAAGTTGTGGTCACTGTAGGTAGGTATATAAATTGAATCCATTCGGAATGCTATTTTTTATTTCAAATCGTTGTGATGAACTAAAAACAATAAATTGATATTCAACAAAAATATGAAAAACTTCCAAAGGAATGAAAAAAGTTGCAATGAAAGTAGTACTATCTGAAAAATTTGGGTACTCTCACGTATTTTGACGTATAGATCATGAATACGAAAGGAAAAAAATGTTGCTCCCCCTTATTTTCAGAGTTACGCCTTCCTAACTTCCAAAAATTACAATTTTTCAGAAATACTGACTGTACATTCCATAACAAACTATTGTAAATCTATCCATTTGTTTTCGCAAATTTTTTCTTTCTAATGGAACTCTCTGTTAAGTTGAATTTGTATTGTAATGTGAAGCCAACATCTAGGCAAAAATTGAAGTGCAACAAGTGTAGTAAAATCATTCTTTTGAATTATTAAAATCTGATAATATTAATTCACCATACTTTTCTCATTGTATTGAAGTTGAAACTCAGTCATATCAAGAATAATAGGAAAAGGAAAATCGATTAGATTTTCCATTCATTCATAAAGAAGTAACAACTACAAACTATTGATGATTTATTTTAAAATACAACAGGGTTGAGCTTCTGCACAAATTTCATCCCAAAATGCAAAAACTTTTGGTGTTTTATCACCACAAATTCTTAAACACAAATTCACTCTCGCTATCAAGCGGTTCAATAAACGAATAAATACTTTTGCATCGTTTTTCTCACTCTTCCAAGAAATATTTGATGTGATCGCGTTGCATTTAATGGCCACATCAGGCGAACAAACGTAGGAATAATAAAAGCTACACAGCAAGATTTCTCAAACAGTGACAAGCTGTAATTAGAAGTCTGAACATTAGGGATATATTCCATACAATATCTCTGGTAGGCGGAAAAACTCGAAATTAAATTTGCTTCATTTTACGGAACCATAATCTCAGTGCTATTCTACAATGTTAACAGGCTGAATTGAAATTTGATTTCGAGTGTTGGACAAATGTGTGATTTCTCGAAATACTTCAGATTATTTATAGTCTGTGTTATTTTTCCCTCTCGCTATGTACATTCTCTTTTTCAATGAAATATGGGACAATCTGGATGAACGAACTGAAGAGCAAGTTTTTGATTTCCAACGTATCGATGTTTGATAAGAAATCGTGTGAAAAATATTATTTAATACAATATAGTATTAAACCGATTGATGAAACTTTTTCATTCGACATTTTAATATGTTTTTAGTAACTGGTAAGGAATAGAATCAAATCAAAAGTACTGATCTTTTAGTTTTTAAGTTTAAGGACTATACATTGTTGCAATTTTCAAAATAGGAAATGAGGATGGTTCAATTGCAACGAATCTTTTACAAGGTCATAATGTAATCAGTCTGTAGAATATTGTGAATTGTCAATAGATCTACTCATCTAACTTAGCTAATAACTCAACAAAACTCAACAAAACCCAACACAACATAATTTTAAGACGATACGAAATTTGCCGAGTCAGCTAATTTATATTGAAAAATCATTTGTTTATTTGCATCTTTGTGAGAGAGTGATATTGAAATTTTTCAAAGCACTGTAGCATGTAGCATATGTTTTTGAAAGATCCGCAAGTCTAGTATAATCTACCCTTTATCAAAACAGAACACTCTCTTGACTAATCCGATATACTGATCAATTTCGAAAGACAAACCACACGTAGCAGGAAATCATCTACTATACACAGCTGTAATAAATTATATCAATGTCAAGGTTACGGCAATTAAAAGCATCAAATCTGAAGATCCGCTCCACGAAATTGGTGGCAAGCACTCGAGATATAACGTAAGAGCCAGTATCTGTCAGAGTAGTTGTGATAAGTTAAGGCGGCGATTCATTCTGATCCGTAAAAGAGCCATATCTGCTTCTTTCACTTTCGTTTATTGCAGCGTCCGTTTATGAAAAGCCGTTTTTGTGATTACTAGGGGAGTAGTTGAGAGAGTCTTTGTTGAGTATACTTTTGAAAAACATTATAATCCTAAATTCAGAAAAAATGTATCGACGCATATCATCATGTTCTCGAATGTATCTCTGAGATAGTTTAATGAATACTATTATCATGCCTACTGCTTACTATTACAAATATTACTTTGTCTACGTAAGCCAAAACATTTTCCAGTGGACACCATTATCAATTTTGTTAATATTGACCTTAACTGACGTCCTTGACGAAAATTGATGCACTTTTCTTCTCAAACAAGGAAACAAAAAATTACTATATTTCACCTTTATACTAAGTACACCACAAAGTTTTTTTAGACAACCACACTATGGTGAAATATATGAATATACAATATGGAATACCCAACAAAAGTATCTGTGAAATATAAAGATTTTCACATTAGGAAATAACGGTTTTGTGGTGTCATGATGCTGTTTTTGGGTTCATTAGCCATATTGTGTGTTTTTAGACATATTGTTTCGTGTGCAACTGTGAGAGACATCATCAAAAGAAATGCGACAATGACCGAAGTCATCTACGTGTAACAGTAACATCTCTTGTTCTTTTTTCTTTCGTGTTCCTATAGTTTATGTTATCGTTTTCCGTCTTATTCTTTCTATTTTTGTTCACTATTCATTGCTTGTCTTTTCAACTCCTCTTTGCTTTCCAGTTCTTATTTTTCACATTGTTTTATCTCCAATTTTTATTAGTGGCACACCTAATAAATAAATATCTTTCGTGACTCTGCATGACTTCATTCATCATAGATTCTGATCAGATTGAAGCTTAGGAAAATGTATGTATTCAGGATGATTTATTCACTTGTTTTCTCTCTTCCCATCACTTTGTTGGTATTTCTCATGAAAGTTATATTCTCAAAAGTCTTAGATATGAATGTGACATTTGGTTTATTTGGATGACTTTGAATTCTCTGCTTCATCAATTCTCAAGGTGAACTAAAAAAGTTATTCGACTTGCTCTTTCAATATATTTTCCAGCTTATAACCCGAATATTTATAATTTCTCTTTTTCAGCTTCTTTTATTCTGTCAATGAATGTTTGCACTTTATCAAGAAATTGATTTGTCTTCAAGTTGATGTGTTAACACTCATCGTTTATCTTTCTGTGAACCTTTCTTGGGTCCATTTCAAAACTTGAATCGGAATCTCACTCCTTCCTGGTTTCCCAGTACAAAGTCGTTTGCTACCTGGATATTGAGAATTTTTTCCATACACTTTAACCAAAATCATCATCAATACATCACAAAATTATCATCAATACATTATGAAAAATCAATCACGTACGGTCAAATGAACAAGTACGGTCCTGTTCATAGATAAACAGGACCGTACTTGCTCATTCAAAAATGATATACCTGGATTCCAAATTCACTATTCAAGCAATGATATGCATATTTAATAGGATTTTTGTTTCAGATATATCTAGGCTGGAGAAGTCGCCTTTACTAGCGAACGGATACAACCATCCACCACATCTAAGTCACATGCAGTTTATGCAACTCCCGCATCCGGCTGCGGCACATTCTGCTCTTTTGTCGCCCGCCATGCCGCACAATTTGACCAGACACGACGGATCCGTTATCAAAAATCAAGGAATGCCTACAATGGAAGCAATTGCGAGGTAAGATGTCAGTTTAGTTGCTAGTAATTCAAGGTATTTGCCGCTTCTTTCTGGAGACTGATTTCTAGAAAAAAACAGCTGACAGTGAAGTATACTGCAAATGTTTCAAGTTGCTTCTTAGGATAAGAAAGCACCCTGAAAATGTTATGATTCCACGGAGAAAATGAAATACATGATGAAATTTAAATCTGCCTGTCGATGCAGTCGATGCCTCAAACTGAAAAAAATAACGATTCTCAACAGATACTAGTGCAAGTAACAACAGAATCTGTGTCTTTTCTGGGTTACATTCGAGCTTGGCCCGTGAGAATATCTGGCTAAATTCCCCGCAAGTTCAGGCCATCAAAGTAGAACAAACCAAAGACCTACTCGTCGTAACGAGGAATATCGTTATTTCTCACATTTCTCATAACGATCCTTCTCTTTCTGAGGACGCGGAGGAGCATTAATCAACGCAATCAGCCTCATCTGATGGAAGTGGGAGAGCAGTGCATAAAACATTCAATATAAATAGCCGGGCAAATTAATATTTGTATTCAATTTATTCGTGTGTCGAACATTGAGACGAATGCTCGGCGAATAAGCTAGACGGTCTACCTGGAGAATTAATCATGGCGCTTCTTCGTGACGTGTACACGCATTCGCCGGCTCAGATTTGCATTTTAATTATGGGCGAGCGTTGAAATGATAATGACGACTTGAAGAGCCGTGTAAACAAGCAGACTTCTTGCGGACTTGCTCTGGGAAAACTAGGATTTTCTCGAATATATCGGTCTCGTACCCTCGTTTTGAAATGTACCCGAGGTACCGAAGAAGTAGATGACGTTATGATGACTAATATATTGTATTTTATTCGAAAGATGGATCTTCAACAGACACTTACACATGCCTTGCTTGCAGATGTTTCTCGTGACCAGGAAAATAACTATTTTTGAGTTGAAGGAGTTAATTCAGCCTACGAGTATTCCGGAATCTAGTTGACGTTGATGATTGTTATAGTATGTAAACAAAAAACAAACAGAAATAGATATGAAGCATCTGATGAAGCAGAGTTGGATGTCGAATGTCGACTCTGGTGTATACAAAAAGTGTTTTCGTTATATACAGCAAAAGGTGCCTCTCTGCAATAGCTGACATTGTTCAGGTGTTACAGAGAGAAATCCCACCAGCAAGAATCTCAAAATGGATTGCCTTTCATTGGCAAATATGTATTTGCAGAAGACCAACTCACATTGAATCCCTGATGCATCCACAATCTGAGAAGAAAACCTTCAAGATCTCCGTATCTCTCCAATATGCCGAGGAGTGTCCAGAAGGCATCAGGAGGTATCAAGAAGGATTTTCTCATTTCTCATAGTAGTCTCAGATTTGAACAAATTTGGTCGATATATCAGTTTGCTTGCCTACTGATTTGAAGCCTCGTACTCATATGAAACATAATGCCACATTTTTTTTGTTATACTGCTTACTGCAGAAGTCTCTGTTATAATTTCGATGTCAGGCCCTGTAATTATTCTGAGCCGAGTTTTGCCTTGCTGTATCAGTTCTTCAGTTCTTTTCTCAGACGAGCATCCCTTTATAAAAGTTTCCCTGTGTGTGTTGCCTGGTATATTTTTCCAATACTCATCATATTTCTTATTGATTCATTTTATGATCTGTTTCGATTCTGGATATATCCACTGATCGTTACAGGGTCCATATATGAAGCTGATTATTCGTGTCTCAGCACATTCGTTTTCTGAGATTTCTGTGTGTTCTCTTGTATCAACTTGGAACTAAATGAATACTTTGAAAAACTGATAAAACAGACATTAATCAAGAATCAAGAGCTCAACAAGGAAAATAATCTTTCACAACCAGTGCTATTTTTGTCTGGAACTGTTAAAAATCTGTTTTTTTTGTGCAACGTTCTGTCTGGAACGTTGAAGATGATGGTGCTTTGGATCTGAGAACAGCTGAAAACCTATAAAAGCCTCTTGAAAACCAAGCCACCTAATTACTATCAACGATTCTAGAACAATTTTTACTGGATATTATCTGAATGTTCAACATCAGCAAAACTGAAAGGCAGTCAAAGATCTGAATTAGCAACCACAAGGAAAACACAAGGCAAAGAAAAACGTACAAGTCGGAAATAGCGTTGGATGTTTGAACAAAATCTGACTAGTTCGAATATGAGATGATACATAGCGAAGAAATCTGGTTTCAAGGGTTTTCCACAGACGATGTATCATGCTTAATAACCCTTTTAATCTATGTTATAGATTCCTGAAGACATACACTTTTTATTTAGTTATTTTGGGTCCTTGGGTCCTTGGTTAAGTTGGTTCCTTTGACTTAGTCATATAGTGAAATAACCGATTTTGATGTTTTAGTTATCTAGAGTTTGGAGTTGCTTGGAGTCATATCACATTATTCACGAGATCTGATGCGATTGTTTTTGTTTTTTGATTGCTTCACAATGAGTAATCACCCTATTTTTTCTGTACTATAGACGGAATATCATGCAATTCCAGTCTTCAAGACTGAAGTAGAGGTTAATTTAAATATGGATGCAATAGGGTGATAGAGAATGTGTGGCAACGAAGTCAAAGATGGGAAAAATTGTTGTGAGAAATGTGCGTGTATACTGAGTTTTGTTTTCATTTATCTCCAAAGCTACTGGTTATGTTAATGATAAATGGTAGTTGCATAAATTATTCATGTTCCTGCCTTCGGTGCACTTTCGGTGGTGGTGATTGTTAATTGCCAATAATGGCAGCAGATATTTTAGCAGATTATAGACGATTTCAGAGGCAACAGTCTTTACTGAAAAATGTTTTGTCGACAAATAGAGAAAGGAAGATTGTGAAATTAGATGTAATGGATCGAGATAAACATTCAGGTGATTTCGATACATTCGATAATATTTTTTCTCTTGTCATTTTTGCTGAATTTCCAATCTTTTTTTACAATGATCGGTAATAAACGATAAAAACATACGATACAAATAAGACATTCAAATGATTTTCATAATCTTGCAAATATATTTCCAATAGTAGAAAAAAATCTGCATTCATTCTACAAATTGAACTGTATTGAAAAATAATTTGAAAAAATATATGGCTGCGGATACATTGGAATGATAATTTGATTTATTATCCTGTTAAATACACTTCATTTAAGTAGCTTTGTTTATGTGTTCTAATATTGTTTGTAGGTCTGGAATATGGGAAAATTGCAGAGCAGCCTACGAAGATATCGTCAAACATTTGGAAAGGTAAGAATAATAATACTTTTTCTCTTTTCCGCGATCACCCAGCATCTCTATGGCGTTAAACACTGCGACGGCATCGAAAACTAATCCTAGAACGGATGGAACAGAACCGGAATAAAATCACTCGCATAAATTCACGGTAAAACGAAAATCCTTCACCGCATATCCCCGAACGGTTCACAGAAAGCTGTCCACACAATTAACAAAGCGGAATTAACAAAACACTGGCCGATTTAAATTTGAATTAGAGGCCCGAAAATTAATTAATCCTCGTCACAACATAGACTGTGGCAATTAGTCCGACACCAGAGAGTTAGAACTTCTTCCAGCTAACATCTGCAACGTTCTTTATGAATATTAATAATGCCCCCGCTAAATATCACTGTCTGCAAAATCAACTCGCTGGAAGTATATTATTTCGTGTGCTTTATTCTACTGTTGAACGTCGCTTATAAATGAGCAGAAGTGGATTCATTTCAAAATTAGCCCAGTTCAATTTTCGTTTGTAATGACATAAAACGCAATTTCATCATCAGCGATGTGGCTCAAAAACAGTTATGTTTGCTTTTGCTTACGATTTTTATTCAGTGATCTAGAATCCAAATCAACGTTCCAAGGTGATTCAAGACCACACAGCGCTGTTTCGACCCACCAAGGTCTCATCAGTGATGCTAGACTGAACCATTTAACTGTCCTCAAACAAACAAGTTTGGAAGTAAAGGTAATGACATATTTTCTTATAGAGTCGCCATCTATGACATCAACAGCAGACTGAACCGTCAAACATCAAAGATGAAGGAGGCTCCCATGGTCGATCTCGAAGCTTGGCTTTGCAACTGACCGCCTTCGGGATCCTCGTTTATCTTTGATATTAGAAGAGACGTCATCTTGCTGTTCAAGTGTTTCCTGACGAATACAGTTGAGGATTGAACCAAGACCTGGAGAGTATACTCCACAATTCAGTTCATGCAAGAGCGTGTATACCGCTTCAGAATATATCGCGATTGATTCCATTCATGTTTATTGAAATTCAATCTTAGGTGAAAAATTTCATGCATCAGTTATTTTTACCCCGGTATTTTTTTCTCGATATGATTCGCGAGACTCGGTTAACGAGTAGCTACTCTTGAAAACACGTGTAGAAAAAATAATTATTCATATTAATTTATGCTAATTAGGAACGTAATTCATGTTGGCACAGAGAAAAAACAATGTAACGTACGAGTTATTACATTGATTAATTTGACAAGTAATACGCGTTCCTTGTGTGGCGAACGTACAGATTTTCAGTTTACTTGAGCGTGGATTTTGCAGAATAATTGTTCGTTCATTCACAGTCGTGGATAATTATGTCACGGATTAGATTCTTTAGAATAATGGCTAACTGGATAATGTTAATAATGGTGTATTCAAATCAGAATAGAAATGAGTTATTGGAATGGAAAAATAGTGTAATTTGAACTAGCTCATGTTGGTATTCGTTCAGATGTAAAATAATATTCAAATTTGGTGAATGAAGTATAGGAAATATATGAGAATAACTCAGAGTATTTTTTACCGCTATATACAGGGTGTTCCTAAACATCGTGCACATACGAAAGGGGGTAGTTCTTTGGCTCATTTCATAACAAAAGTTCATATAAACATAGGTCCGCAAATGCTTCGTTACCAATTTACAGGGTGTTGAAATTACAAGATTTTTCTTGTTATTTCTTTGGAGCTCCTGCAGTTTTTGAGATATTGAGCTCAAATTTGGAATCTAGATTGCGTTATAGGGCATACATTTCTACAAAAAATCTTTAATTTTTTTCTCGATAACGGTCGCAGAAACGAAAAGAGTTTCTAAACAAATAAAGTTTCCAAATAAAACGGAAAATTCAGTGTGTATTTTAAAATCTACCAGCGGCGCACAGTAAAAAATTCAGGGGGAGAAAATGGAACATGACTCCTGACAAAACCCACTAATGTATGCCCTATAACGCAATCTAGATTCCAAATTTGAGCTCAATATCTCAAAAACTGCAGGAGCTCCAAAGAAATAACAAGAAAAATCTTGTAATTTCAACACCCTGTAAATCGGTAACGAAGCGTTTGCGGACCTATGTTTATATGAACTTTTAGTTATGAAATAAGCCAAAGAACTACCCCCTTTCGTATGTGCACGATGTTTAGGAACACCCTGTATATATCGGAAACTTACATCTATATCAAAAAACGAACGCAATCAAGGTCACTTGTGTATAGTCTTCCCCCTAGCAAATACTACATTCTCCCAACCTGATATTATTTGATTCACAAGTTGCTCGATTGGATTCGAATCGAGATTGATAACTGGTCATTCTATGAAGGATTGTATGAAGGCATGTATGATTGAAGTATCTATTTAAGCGTTCCTAACAATTTAGCAACATTCAGAAAAGAACTAACGATGAATCTTTTAAAACCATCACTACTAACATTGATGACAATCCACAATCTTCTACCAAATGATATCTATTGCTGACTAATAGTTTTGGTAGCAATAATCAGTGTAATTTTCAAGGAGATTTGAAGGCATGATAATATTTTTTTTGACAACCTTCTGGATGATTTGTATTATTGATTGAAAATGATCATAATCTCAGGGTTCAAATAGAAAAGTTCAGTAGTCTGTCGATTTTCATTAAAAGTATGTAATACGATAAATTTCTGAAATTATAATAATCAATCATTTTGTTAGATGAAATGCAAATTTCATCAGCAACATTTTTTATAACTTCTGAATATTCTTATGCGTGTGAAACATTTGAAAATTAATAATTACTTAAAAAAAGAACGACTCCCATTGGCGACTTCACCAAATTAAGATTATATTTTTATATTTTATACCGAAAAAATTATTGCAGCCACAAACATGTCTTCAAACATGGAACAACTACGATTATTACTTGTAAGAGTGATTTTCTCTTTCGCATTGTTATCTTTTTTACAAGCTTTCGTATAAGATGACCTGTAGGTATCTAGGACGACAAATCTTTAAACAGAATTTTGAACCAGTTAATTTCGAATAATCAAGCTGAAATTTTACACACAAAATTGATTTTCCATAGATTTTATGAAGTATCAAACGAATGGGTTTGATGAGATGAATACGATAAGGAAAGCGACGTCACTTCGAATCTGTGACGTGGACATCTTCTCATTGAGGAGCAAGATAGATCAAAACTTACAAAACTTTCATGAAACTCATATACTGGAAAGAGTAAAATTACTTTTTCTCAATATCGTTTTTACTGATTTAACATTGTACTTGTATGTAATTTATAGTTTTTCTTTAAGCTTGTCACGCAAATTGTTAACAAAATGAATACCTGTACACTGTGGCATGTTTAGCGAAATCAAACAGTATGTTCTGAACATATAGCACGACATGATTTCAGCGACAAGATGAAATCAATTCAAAAACAGTATTGAATTATAATCAACAATGACAAAATTCATATAGCTTGTTCTGAAACTACTTTTCACCATTATTTTATTAGGAAAATATTATTCAAATTTGGCAGATTGTACCAGCAATAAGAATGATTAATTTATTGAGACATGAGACACAAAAAATTGGGTTGAAATGAGTTTTTTGTTTCATCCTCATACGAATGACCACTTTTGAGAAAAAACATTAATAGTTTCGGTTATTACCTAATCAGCTAAGATTATGCCTAGCCATTATTGGCTGAGCAGCATTAAAAAGCATCAAAAAGCATTAAAAATGATATTTGGGAAATGAAGGAGAAAAACGAAAAAATCCTAAAATGATTCTTTTTTTATAATCGTAACAAAAAAAAAACCTGTTTGTTTAAGAACGCCCAACAGAAGTGATAGCTGAGTTGAACTATTCAATATTGAAATTGTTCATCTCGAGAAAAACTTAAGTTACTGCTTAAATATAATGTATATATGATAATGCGAGGAAAGGTTATTTATTGATGAAATATTTTATTGATGATTTTGTGTATGTACAGTTATAGCTACCATAAGCCAGTTGTTACTTCTGTAGGATTAAATAATGATACTAATAATGTACCTACACAAAATCAGTATTATCATTTTTAAGCCACGTTTCATCTAATAAAAGAATATTACGTGCTTGCTGGTTATATTTTTATAATACTGTCAACAGTATATGTCTAACGCACACTAAACACTGAGCGTCTGTCTGACGAGAGAGGAGAAGCCTGCCTTCCGTTGACGTATGTGTGAGAGAAAGGAAAGCCGGACAAACTGGCCCGTTACGCGTAAGATAACAAAGTTGTTTATCCTCCCATGAGAAGTTTTCACTTCCAAAATAATAGCACGACATGATTTCAGCGACAACATGAAATCAATTCAAAAACAGTATTGAATTATAATCAACAATGACAAAATTCATATAGCTTGTTCTGACACTACTTTGCACTATTATTCCATTAGGAAAATTGGGAGTAGTGTAGATTGTAGCAGCAATAAGAATGAATAATTTATTGAGACATGAGACACAAAAAATTGGGTTGAAATGAGTTTTTTGTTTCATCCTCATACGAATGACCACTTTTGAGAAAAAACATTAATAGTTTCGGTTATTACCTAATCAGCCGAGATTATGCCTAGCCATTATTGGCTGAGCAGCATTAAAAAGCATCAAAAAGCATTAAAAATGATATTTGGGAAATGAAGGAGAAAAACGAAAAAATCCTAAAATGATTCTTTTTTTATAATCGTAACAAAAAAAAAACCTGTTTGTTTAAGAACGCCCAACAGAAGTGATAGCTGAGTTGAACTATTCAATATTGAAATTGTTCATCTCGAGAAAAACTTAAGTTACTGCTTAAATATAATGTATATATGATAATGCGAGGAAAGGTTATTTATTGATGAAATATTTTATTGATGATTTTGTGTATGTACAGTTATAGCTACCATAAGCCAGTTGTTACTTCTGTAGGATTAAATAATGATACTAATAATGTACCTACACAAAATCAGTA